TGGACATGGCGACTTCCAGTTTAGTGAAAGCATTTTTCCTTTGCTTTATTGTGGAGAACCAGGATAGTTGTTGCGACATATAGAGTAGGGAGAGCTTGCTTACCCTGGGGGTATCTTAGTGTGGAGTATGAAGCTGAGATGAACCCCATTTCTTCTTTCACTGTGCTTCAGGCTAACTCTTGAGCATTAATTGGTAAAAGCAGGGCAGTGCTAATGGAGCCATCGTGTTTCACCTCATAGTGATCAGGGGATTTTTTTGTAGGACAGTTTCTTTTTAACGTTGCAAAGTAAGTGCTGCAAAGAAGCTGATGTCGAGCCAGCTTTGTGTAGGTAGTTGCTACCCAAGATTTGGAATAGCTGTTGATGTCCTTGTGCATGAACACCCACATCAGATATCGAACTGTGTAGACTGGCTGCTTTGGTTCGTCCTTCCGCTCAAGCAGACTATTCCTCACCACAGAGTAATGACTTTTACTGAAACAACATTTCTGTTTCCTGCTGCTCTTTAGCAAAGAAGTAAAACTCTCTAACAAAGCTTTGCTGTTTTGGAAAGCTCTGTGGAGTTTTGCAGTGCCTTCCCCCCCCGCCCCTTTTTTTTTTTTTTTTTTTCCCTCCAAGTCAAGGGGAAATGAAGATGATGTAAAGGAAAGACTGTCATGGAAACCAACTAGCATTTTGAATTAGCTCTGCCGTTTTTAGAAACAAAGCCATGTGCTGAAAGAATCCAGAGCAATCTGGTCCCTCCGAACTGGTTTTGGTGAGAGACTGATGGTAGGAAGATGCATAAATGTTACCGCCTGTCTAATAGTTATCCTTGCTTTGTGTTAACCTTGGATTAAATTTCTGCCTTCAGAAATCCCACTTGAATTCAGTAGCCTGGGTACATGCTGACCTGGCTGGTCTTGGTGTCGTGTCCGTTCCTGTATATGGTGGTACCTCAGGGGCTTTACAGGAGTATTGTGGAAAACCAGTTTACCAGTTGTGGGATTACTGGAGCTTGATGAGATTCCATGGTTTCTTCTCTTCTCCTGAGTCCCAGTGTAAGTCTGTGGCAGTAGGAGGAGAGCTGTGGGTTTTGCTTATTTCAATATTCTCTTCTTTTTGAGGATACTACAGTGGAAACTTTATCACATTGTGCTCACTGGACTGTTTTCTTCAATTTTACGTGTATTTTCAGATTGTATTACGTTTCTGGATGTGAGGGAGACAGATTGACATGTTTTCTGATAAATGCAATGAGACTTTTTAGGAGAAAATCCTTTCATATTGTTCAGGGGAATTGTTAGATATAAATTATTTATGACTAAGGTTTTGTGTGCTAGGGAGCACAAAGCTGAAGTTTTCCAAATCACGTCTATAAATATAAAGACCAAAAATTTCAAACTTAGATGCTTAAAACTAGGCACCCTGGTTTGTGAGAGCTCTCAGATTCCCAGGGAGCTCAGCAGCAACACTTGAAAATTGCACAAGTGAGGGAGGTGCTCCAGGGCTGGTCCTGACACCCCCTGAGCAAAGAGCTGGGATGATTTAAAAATGGAATCGGCATCCGCGGGGGGGTGAGACAGACAGACAGGCCTTCTCCCAGAATTGCTTAGAGCAAGCATTTTAGTGGCATCTACTTGCCTCACAATTGATGTAGGTATCTCTTTTATAAAGTACCGAAGTTCTCAAATATTGTGCCAACTGCTACTAATGAAAGTGTAGTCTTTAGAAGGCTCTTGGTAGGAGGATTTCTTGGTTCAGGGACGACTGGTGGTGTTGCTCAAAAGCCTTCCACTGGAATGTGAGAGGACTGAGGATCCTGATAGTCAGTTGACTCTGTTCTGGATCGAGTCCTAATTTCCTTACCAAGTTTTGGACCAAAGCAGATTGATGCAGCCGTGACATTAAGCTGTGAAAACTGAACTAAATAATTTGCATAAACAGATTTGCTATGCAATTACTTGGTTTCCACAGAACACTGATGCATAGAAAATGGGGAAGTGAGAAGCAACTGCTGGTGCTAGCTAGCTAATTTTCAGATGTAAATAATCCAACTGTTTCAAAATGATTTTAAAAATTAAATTACTGTGACACAAAGCACAAAAAATGACAAATCTCATTTGGAGTGTTTTCTTTGTATCTTGAGAAGGAGGGTAATCTAGGGTGACATTTTGCATGCCAGGTTTTGGAACAAAACAGGTACAAACTAGTGGTGAATAAAGTGTGCTTTTATGTAGCTGTGTGTCTTTGGTTTAAATGGAAAGTAGCTGCAGTTTATTTTGAAGTAATACGGTTTCTGAAATTGCAGGAAGTTTCTTTTTTGCTTATCTATCTATTCTCCAAGTTTTTGGTGTTAGTACTTCATACTAAAGATTTTAGCCTGCACAACATTACCATTCTGCCCTTTTTCCTCAACTGGGAGACTTATGAGAGATTGCTGTTCTGCAGCAGAGTCCAAAGAGCTCAGATGTAATTGGAAAAGCAGCTGAAGTTAATTACGGTATTGAGACTCATTGTAGTCCATTTAAATGGATAGATGCTGTTGGAAATGGGACAGCCAGATATCTCCTTCCAGCATGATTTGGACATAACTCAACTGAGAAGAAGAGGATAATACAACTTTTTCAAAGAGAGATGCTGGCATTTAAGTCTCCTGGAGGTGTGAGTTTTGCCTACGCTGCTTTGAGTCAGATCCAGGGTAGTCTCTACCCACTGCTGCAAACTGGCTTGAAGCCCACGTTTTTCTGTCAGATTTGTTTATCCATTTTTATATCCCACCAGCTTCTACTGCTGATGGAGAAGAAAAATTATTTTTCTTCCTACAGAAATTCTGTTCCTTAGAAAATTAAGGCAAGCACATCCAGCTTTGCCTAAAAGCAGCTTAGGGGAATGGCACGTTTATTACTGTAGTTAGTTATTTTCTTATGTAAAAGACCTATAAGGTTTATTAAATTGGTGATCCTCTTAATGTTAGAATTCACAATGAGACTCTCAAGTGTCCTGTTGCATACTAAGGTAATTGTGTACTTAGTCAGCCAAGGACAGGTTTGTTTAAGGGAGTAAATATTGTCCTTGTTTTTCTTCAATGTGTGGTGGGGTGTGTTCTGTACAGCCGTGGGACAATGGGGCTAAAACATTGTGTGTGTTCAGGGCTGGGAAAGGCGCAACTGGGAGGGCGAGTGTCCTGACTTTAGATTTACTCAGAAATGTTGAGAGGGGCGAGCTCGCTCACAGTGGCTGCAGAATCCCTTTTCCCAGGGCGGTGCTGGAAATAACAGGAATTTGCCTGGGTGCAGAGCACGTGCTCTGCTCAAGCCCAGCGTAAGCCGCCGTGGTGTGGGATGGATGGGTGCTGCTGCCTACGCTGTGTGTCTGCATCTGAGCCAAGGTCGTCCTGGATTCCTGTCTTGAGAGAGAAATAGAGACAGTATGGTTGCTTTTGTCCTGATCCAGTTGTCTGAAGCGGGTGAGCTGGGCCCAAGGTGCCTGTTTCTCTCTGCTGACTATAAAAGTAGCCTTGGGTACATAACGCGGTTGTAGCTGCAGACCTCGTGGATGTCTGGAGCTGAATGAGGTGAATCACTCCCTCTAGCACTGTTGCTGTTGGTTAATGAGTACAGGCATGGTGAAAGCTTTTGACCTATTTACTGCAGCTCTTTATGATGTGCAGCAGCTCATGTAAATTTGACCCGTGTCAAGCTGAAATGAGAGCTTCAAGGAGGGGATGAGAAAGATCCCCCTGTTGTTTTCCCATATGGGGGCTGCTAGCTTGAATTGTAGTTGTCTAAGGTTTTGGGGGTGAGGACCAGGTCGTTTCCATATTTTACACTGCAGCATCCAACTGTATTCTGTTCTATGCAGCAGCTTTTGGACTGATCATATCTGTTCAGAGATCTTTTGGTGGATCAGCTCAGTAGCTTTGGTACTGATCCGCATCAGGGAAGTCGTCTGTTTACTCCTGTCCTTAGAAAATGGATTTGAGGCAATACTTTTCTGTTCCAGGCCTGTAAGAGAAGGAATACTGAAGTGCCTTTCTTCCTTTTGCTTGACCATTCTCTATTTTGGATATTATTAGTGTTCCGTAGTGCACTGTATAAAGCAGAAAAAACCTCATTCAGCTGGTCTCGCTAATCAACTCATCACTAATGAGCTATCTCTGGCCAACATCAGGGACCATGTTTTTTTCCTTCTGCTCTGTGAAGTCTGTGCTGATCTTCCTGTTTGATCACTGCTCTCTTCCTAAAAGCCTCACCTAAACCCCTCATTCCTCTAGAGCTCAGGGCCCGGTACAGCTCGACAAGAGGAGCACGCGGTGCTGGGTGTTCCAGAGTCCCCTGTGATGGTGAATGCTGCCCCAGCAGAGCTCACGGCTTGTGAAAAAGCAGCTGGGGGAAGGACAGGGTGGGAAAGCATGACAGAACAAATGAAAAGAGGGAGTTTGGAGTTGTGGCCTCACTAAAGTAAATGAATTTTAGTGACTAAAGAATTGTAATCTGCTCATGCACTTCCACTGATAGCTTCAAACATCTTTCTTAAAAGCTCACCTCCCACATGCAAGAAGCTCTGTCATTAACTTGATTTTTCCACTGTATGAGCTATCCAGCTCCTTCCACTGCCCCTGCCTGAATCTACGTGCACAGATGTTTGGAAAATCAGGTACTTAATGACAAGTCTACGTGTGGAGTTCAGGAATGTATGTTAGAGTCCTACCTCTGCAAATCTCCTCTTTGGGAACCAGAAGTAATAATGAATAAAATACTGGATGTCACAGTTATTACTAAGAATTAGCAAGTCTCTGCAACATAGTTCAGGAAGAGACAATCACACACTAGGTCATAATCCTGAGGTTCAGTTTTCCTTGTTAAAAAGGCAGAAGTACAACTTCTAGCACATACGAGATTTCAGATGTGTTTGTAGCTCTCTATAAAAATAGATGGAATACTGCTTAGCAGGTGGCAGTCCAGAGCATGCAGTCAAATTTTAAGTTCCTTGCTTTTTTCTTTCTTCTTTTTTTGCAGGCAAGAGGTGCAGATATCCCTGACATTCCAGGGGAGTTGCCACTCCGGACCTGTGGCAGCACAGCAAGTATGAAAGTGAAGAATGTGAAAAAGTAAGAGCCATGTTCTTTGATTTTTTCCTGTCTTTGCTGGGCTTCTAGTTTTGATATCCTGGGTTTTAGCTATTGTGCTGCAGTACAGCAAGGGCATTCAGCAACAGTTTTGATAGTATCTTCGTCAGAGCAACCAAAATCTATGTGAAGCAAATTAAATTATGGCTAATGTAGTCTAAAACTGGGGATGTCAGCAGTTTTGTTGGCTCTTTCACCTGTTTCTGGCCATAGAAATAAAGCTTGTTAGAGTTTTGAACCTCACTGTTACTGTATTTTTATAGTTTTGTGATTTTTTTCCTGAAACCGATTAATAATAATAAAAAAGAACATATATTTAAAAAAAAAATACCTAAAGAGAAGCCCAGACAATGTATAAATGAGATCATTTTCCCTGTCTCCTTATTCTCTGGGAAGCTAAACCAGGACAAGTGGGTGGCCTAGATATATATATTTTTTTTATTTGATATTTTTTCTTTCTCCCTTTTTTTGCATTCTGCCCTGTACTTCTTCATTTGAGTAGGGTTTGCATGATTTTTCTTCTTTCGGAGTATTTTTTCTTCTCTGATCTCCCAGGTTTATTTTTTTTCCCCTGTGGGTTTAGGCTATCTCTCCCTCTCTTTCTCTCTCATTCTCTCCCAGAGAATGTAAACCAACTTATTATGCTTACAGCTAAGGTTTCAAACCTCTAACCTGCAAAAAGGATCAAGTAATCAATATCACTTGACTTGTCTTTGCTAAGAATGCTGACTTGAGGACCAGAACTCCTCAGTATTGATTGATCTGTGCATTCAGATCACCTCTCTGTAGTGCTCTGATGCTGTAAGGGAAAAGGCTCTTTGTTCTAGTGCTGAGCAGCCAGATGCTGCATCTCACTTCCCACTTATATTCCCGTGGGAAGAGAGAGCTAGATAATGACAATCTCATTGGCTCACCACCAGAAATATCTATAGGAGTCTATAATAGCTTCAGCAGAAGCAAGAGCATGTTGCAGAGCCAGAGGATCTCCCCGTCAGCCATCATTGTAACTGGAGACACTTGGGAATAATTATGCCTCACTTTTGAATTTTAAAAAGGCAAAGGATAAATAGCGTTTGTTCTGCACCCTCAGATACATCAACCCGGGACTGATGGGCTGTGATGCCTTTCACAGGTAAAGTTCTACTTTCCTATGTGTCTCGTGTAAGGCTGTTTATTTGCACTGCAAAAATGCATTTGTAAAGGTAGAGCAGCTTGTCCCTGCACCGTTTCTGAAAGATGTGGGCTTCAGTGTTGGTGAAATGCCACACAAATCTTTAAGGATGCAATGATAAAAGCCATTTTGCAATTTAGTTTTCCTTTCTCACTCAGTTGCTTTCTCCACTTTTTTGGTACATCACATCAACAAATCCCCCTGTCCCCTTGGCTTTAGGACGAGAAAGGCATTGTCATTTTGTAGCAGTAACTGCATTGTATAAGAGTACTTGGTGTTGAGCATTGTTTCAGTGACTTGTATCTATCTTATGGTGTGCTTTTGATGTGCTTCAGGTTATCCTTTACAAAGGGTCATTTCCCGAAGATGGCTGAGTGTGCACATTTCCATTATGAAAACGTGGACTTTGGCAACATACAGGTGAGTGTTTCAGATTTCTTTTATATACAAAACATCATTGTGTTTGGCTGCCAACTGACCTGGTAGGGGAGGTGGTAGAGGGACCTCCACTAAGGTTCGTTAGTTGGTTGGAAAATGGGTAGCGATAAGAAGTTAAAGCAATAGGATCTCTTTATTTGGAATTGTTTCCATGTACTGGGCCAGAATCTGTGGCCACCCCTTTGAGGCTGGAGATGATTTTGTTTCCGCTGGATTTGACTGATGTCACTGTTTTAAGATTGCAGCAAACTTTCATTATTGAGTCATCTGTAATAACTGCATGCATGTTTTTAGCTTGTGTGTGTATCTTTAAACAATTGTGTGAATGTATTTATGTAAATATAAATAATTCAGATTCATCCATTCTCTCGTGTTATCTTAGCTCTGCATTGTGCATTGCAGCAGCTGTGTCATCAGAATACAAGAAATTGCTAGTCAGCCTGAGTTGCATTTCTACAAGTGTGCAGGCTTCACTCCTTTGTGATCCATCCGTCAGAAATACAGGCAGAAGCATTTTTCATTGAGCAGTACCGGGGAGGGCTGAGAACCAAGAATCACTGCTAGTTTCTCATAAACAGGGCACATCTTGTTCTGCACTTAGAGAAGCAGGAATGCCTCCAGCATCTGCCAGCCTTGTAGCCAGAAAGAGGTTACAACCTTTTCATTTGTAAAACATTTCCTGTAATATAGAGTGAATTATTTACAGCCTTTTCATGTTTCCATACTTGACAGTTTTGCAAGCAGAATTATGCATCCGTTTTTTCTGTCTCTGTAAAATTCCAACTGAGGAGGAGTTTGGGTCCTATTCAGGGCTTGTATCTACTATTATTCACACTTAGTGGTTACTATTGCACGCACTAAGTAGGTCCATTCTGCTGAGCACGGGCTGTACGTGCATTGGCAGATGCATGCACACACAGGCAGAGCAAGTATAGGCAAAATAATGGATTTAAGAGGACACCAGTGCAAAGAGCTTGGTTCTTAACGCAGACTGCTGGCCCAAACAGGAGCAGTCCTGTCCTCTGAAGCAAAACTCTGTGTATTCTCAGCATCTGTGTAGAGGAATAGTGTGACTAATATATGTCTCTCTTTTTCGTCTCCTGGTAATTTTCTGATTTGACACCACTAATTTTTCAGTCATTTTGGACAGGGGTTGTGTGTTGGAGTAAGGGTTGAGCAGGTTTCTCGCTACACACAGATGTGTTTTGCATCATGCCATCCTCTGAGTTTTTCTTTCCGTCGTTCAGAGATATTCAGCACAACGTGCAGGCTAGATTTTACCAACTTTGCATGGCACCAGAATTTAAAGCATTTTGAAGACAAACGATTTAATTCTTTTGTGGGTTTTTTAAGCATTTCTTGAAATGTTTTAAGGATGGCAGGGCATAGTTCAGGGTTGATACGCTGAGATTTTTCCGTTCGTGAGAGGGAGAAGTAAAATCAGGTAATGCATTCTTTACAGGTTTTCTTCATGCTGTTCTGCCAGCGAACCTGGAGCATGTTCTGGTGGGAAGTTTGCAGGAGCTGGTGCTGTCTAGCACTTGTTTTTGTGGTGCACCTACAGCTTTCCCTGCTCCTGCTCGGCTGTCCTCTGTGTTGTGCCCTCTGACTGCTGTAACCAGAGGAGTGATCTGGCTGAAAAGCTGTAACGGGGGAAGGATACAGCCCGGGAAGAGAGAGTCGTATTGGTTAGCTGTTTTCTCTCACGGTGTCTGTGCTGTGAAGCTGGGAGGAGAGCGGTGGACGGCAGCAGCACGGAAGCACTGTCAGAAAAGTGTGATTGTGTGTGTGGTGGTTGGGGGGTCAGTTCTGTGCTTCCGCCGCCGCTGCCTCTGAAAAAACCATACGTGCTTAATTATTCACGTACCTAAAGCAAAACATGTGCTTCAGTAAGGTGAATCAGGCCCAAAGTAGCAGCTCTGTGCCTCTTGTCCCTTCCTTTTTCTAAGCAAGATTTCTGATAGATCCCCACAGTGTAATGACTTTTTTATATAGATAAAAATACCTTAAGAGCAGAGCTTTGCTCTTGAAATACCAAAGGGTAGGGCATTACAGTATTTCCTTAGTAGAAGACCAGTATTAGTGGTAAAAGAAATGAAGGCTATTAATGCAACAGCAGTATTAGTTTACAGACTTAAAAATAGGTTCATATAGGGCTCATACATTTTAATCGAGTGGCATTCATTGATGGCTTCTTTGTGATAACAAGGTAGACTAGAGAATAGCAGTAGGCTGAAGTGACTTGTAAATGACAGCTTGGCACCTAATAGCGAATTACCAAGTTGCATCTGAGGGGTAGTGGGTGTAAACTCCTTGCAAAATCTATTCACTGTTAAAAATTTGCATAGTAGAAATGCAGTATTATCTGGCTGTGTCAGGAATTGTGTAATGCTGTCTATTAACAGCCTGGCCAAATTTCAGATTGTTTTGTAACGTTTATGTCGCTTATAATATGGTCTCATGGTGCAATTGGTATTAATATCTTGGCATTTCACCTCATGAGATCGTTTTAAATTAACTTTCTGATGTGTATAAAAAAGGATTTGTTCTCTTCTCATCCTAGCACCATGCTAACAAAACTAGGTGCATTTTGGGATGCTTTTTCTCTTCAGAAACACTCTGCTATACTGCTTTCAATAGCAATGCATTTTAACTGTATCTGCGCCTGGCCAGCAAGACACATGTTGCATGGGCAGGAAATTGCTGGTTTACCAGGCAAAGGTAGCTGGTGTCAGAGCTGTAGTTATATAGGACAGGCTTTACAGATCGCATCAGTGCCATAAATTCACTGGTATTTTGCTGAAAAACCTTACATTTACTACTGCATTTATTTTTTAAGGCTACATCATTGATTTTTAATTTTACAATGAAAAGCCGAGTTCTTCATAATAGATTTATTTCAGTCTAACACTGGATAAATGTTTAGGAGTCTTGTCAGCAGGAGCAGGACTGTGATTCAGCCTTGCTGTGGTCTGTCTCCCAGACGAGATGTTATCAGGCCAGGGTTGGATTGTGATTACTCAGCATCGGTTGGGTCGATTCTGCTGGCGTCCTCCTCTTGTAAGCTCCACTGCCTTTCCACGGTTCTTGCCTAATGTCTGCCTGTGATGCCTCTCCTCTCTCTAGAATGTCAAAACTCAATCCATTAATACACAAAGCAAAGGCTGCTTGCACACACATTGCTGCAGAGGGTGTCTCAGTGTTCAGTTAAGCACTGAAGTATGGAGTTGGAAGTCCTCAGCATCTCTTCCAGGTCTTAAGGCAGAAGGGCTCACCACTCATTGAACTTCAAAAGTGCCTAAATCATCCCAGTGTAACTTCAGATAAGTTCACAGTCAGCTTCTAAGGCAGCTTGTTAAATTTAAGCAAGATTTCAGGGTCTGCCAGTTGGAAAAGCTTCCTTGTTAGGGGCTTGGGTTGTTCCAGCACTGTGTGGTGTACTGCACGTAGCCGAACTAACACAGAAAAGAGTCGCTGTGTACACACTAAACAGTGCAGCATCTTCCAGATGCTCGTTTGAGTTGAAGTTCAATGCATGAGCATGGTGCTCAGCCCAGGCTAATCTGATTGCCTGTTCCAGGTTTTGGTTTTTAGTTGTAGAGCTGCTCAAGGTAACTCATTCCCACGTAATTTGAGTATCTCAGTACAGAAGTTGTATCACTTAGACTCATTGCCTTTTGAGCTTTAAGGCTTGTTAACACTTAGGAATTGAACTGTTGCAACAAAACCTCTGTATTGCTAAGTTATACAAAAGTAGAATGATTCTCCCCCTAACGTGGTGCAAATGTGATTTTGCCTTACTTAGTGCTATGTGCCATTAATATAGACAGGAGGAGTACTGATTAGGTATTCTGTAAATATCTTCCCTTCCTGCCAGAAATACTTTATTCTTCCTTGAAAGAATTAAGAAATTTCCTTTAGTTGAGTAGGTTTCAATAAGGGAATATGGAGGAGCTAATCAGCTCTGCACTTCCCAGATAATATTCTTGGCTCCCTGAAAAACCCACTGGCAAAGGAGAGGAAGTGCTGTAATGCACATTCATCTCACTTGAGCAGTCTTGATTTTTGCCCCTTCAAACAGCATGGTCGCTGTCTCTCCGTCTTGACATTCGTGTGGCTGCCTTCTAAAAATAAACCCCTGTCAGAACAGGATTGGATTACGGTGCATGGAAGATCCTCTCCTTATCTGTTAAGCTTTGGCATTGCAAGTGGTAGGAGCATGTTATCAGTGGGAAAGGAAGTATTTGAACCAGAATCACTTCCGCCCGCGGAGGCATCAGCTGCCAGGAATTCCTGTTCTGAACTCAGCAGCATTGTTTGCTGTTTGAATGCCTTTGGCAAGCTGCAGCCTTCCAACCAAGATGATGGGCTGCCTTGCAGTGGTGGCTGTGGTTTGCGCCTGTAATTGTATTTTCCTGATGTGTCTTAAGAGTTAGAAGCATTGCAAAGAGCAGTTCAGTTCTTCCTGTGCCTTTTGTCAGCAAAGCCTGTTGAGAAGATATTTTTCGGGGCCGTCATCTTTTGGTTTGTCATTTTTCTTTTATAATTTTCCAGGGAAGGGGGTGCAGAGGGGCAGTGGGGTTGTGAAGGTGTCTCTGTTAATTATACAGTCAAATTTTTTCCTTGGATGGATTGCAAAGGAAACAAAAATGGTAAAGCCTGACCAGATCCCCTCCTCTGGAGTTAATGGGGGGTAGTTTAAGATGTTTCTGCCACAGCTAAAAGTAGTCCTCTATATAGATCAGCTAGAAGCAACAGGAATGGAGGAGTGCTCCCTGATCCGTGTGTTCTGTGATCTTGGACAGGTCAGCTTGAATCTCCTTCCATCAGTGATTTTAAACTTAGCCTGCTCACTGCCTTCAGTGTAGGAGGGCTCGTTCATTCCCCCCGCTCTACTGTGGGCATGATAATTTTCAGTATCTTGGCAGTCATAAGCAGCTACAGGCTGTAATGTCTTCATTTATTCCGCTCATCTGCAAAGT